ATACAAACCGACCTCCGTATATAATCTGTTTCCTTCCTTTTTTTTTTTTCTTTTTTCATTTAAAAAAAAGCTTGAATTGAAAATTATCTTGAATCATTTTCTTCACGATTTGCAAACTCCCTGTAAAATCAATTGCTAATACGTACCGGTATTCAATCTATTGCGAGAAACGAATGAAACCGAATGCTATTTGCTTAAATACAAAATCGAGAACTACTTAATAATAATTTGTTCTGAAATTTTAAATTGTACCCAAAATCTACTTGCTTCGCTGTATAATAACATCGTTTCATGGTGACGGTTTAAGTCACCTTGGCCGTTACTTCCAGGGACAGCCCTAACAAATTGTCCAATTTTGGAACAGTGGGCCAATGTCAAACTTTAGTCATTCGATCAAATCAATCACGATAATGACCGCCTATTAAAATCGCTAAGTTGTCTAGGGCTCAGGTGAATTTTTTACCTTTTTATCTTTTTCTATTTCTACAACTGTAGCTATTTAACATTTTCTTTATATCATGTATTAGACGACGGTCAATGGAAAAAAATTGTTAAATAACAATGATTATAATGATAGCAGGAACATTAAACGAGATCAAATGCAAATAACAAGGTCGTCTAATTTCTTAGGCATTAGCAGTAAACCTTCGATAAGAAGTTCTGTTATATTTTACTTGCAGTGAGCAGTACTTGTGTTTAGTTAGTTGAGATGTATTACTCAACTATTGATGACCGTGGCACTAACAACATTTGTGGGAATAATTAGCTTAATTATTGGAAAGTCTTTGTATTCATTTATACCCCGTTCATACATGCAATTTTTCTAAAAGATAAGTTGATGAATAACAATTAGGCGGAACTTACACCTAACTGACAAGAATGAGATAAAAAATAATTAAATATTATCATAACGGTATAAATTCAATTAACATAGAATAATTCGATATGAATGCAATACTCAGGGTAGCTTACAATTACTTAAAGAGAGATATCTACTTTAATTTAATTTCCGCATTAGCAGTTATAAGATTTAGGGCATTAATGTATATGCTATATTTTTTTGCAATCGACTTTAGTTTTTAAAGCTTCTGTAATAAAAAATTCTTTATCTTTACAGTCACACTAATAATTATTACTATTAAGAATAACTGAAAATTATAAGTCTACCCCCTTTTCTAATATCAAAATTACGTCTATTTCTTAATCTTATATTGTTGACCAAGGCCTTTATGTTCTTTATCAATATGGATTTCTTTGGAAAATACCAGTAAAATGTAAAATCTAATTATTGTCCTAATAAATAAGAAATTAAACAGAACACAATCAGATCTAGGAATAGTAGCTATGTGTAAACATCCTTAAAAATAAATGATAGAATTGAAGCATTATTAAACTTTGTCATCTTTCTTTGGGTTTTGTTTTTGTTTATAAATTGCACTACAACAGCAAGTATTGTTTATAACGATGCTGAAGAGGCACTATTAACTGTATTTAATCTAATCTGTTGTAATGTAAACTCTGCAGATAAAATATTCTTTCTAGATTTTTCTGAAGTGGGAAGTACCTTACTGCTTCTCGTCATAGTTAAGTAATGGTAACATTTTTTTATATCTTATTTGTATCAATTTCAAGGGCGATTTAAAATAATGATAAAACTGCCTATTAGAGTTCCGGATGAATCTTTCATATAAGCCAGTGGTTGTGTAATTAAAACATCCAACTGATTGGTAATTTGCCTTGAGTTCAAAATTTGGTAATTTATAGAGACATTTCTTGATGTAAAGCCTAAAACTATATGTACTTATATCATCAATGCTTATAAGTACTTAATCTTTTTTAATATTAACGACAACCTCCAAAAGTTTATCGTTCTTTTCGATAAGTAGAACATAAGTATTAAATTGAAACAACTTTGTACTTAGTATAATTTTATTTATTGTTTGTTATTATGTTGAAAGATATCATTAATTTGAAATGGTTATTAACCCAAAATGCATCAAAATTTATTCGTAATTGAAAATCATATTTTACAAAAAACGTAGTAGATATTTTAAATTTAAATTTCAAATTTTACAAANTTATTGTTCTGGCTGAACTTTACCCTGTACATGCTTCTTTATTGCTAGACGTAAACTTCTTCTCAGAGGTCTCTCTGAATGCCTACTCGATGAAGAAAATGAATCTTCTGAATCTTCTGCTTCAATGTACGGAACTGAACCTTTGTATGTCCACAAACCTACCATACCATCCCACTACAAAAAAAAATATTATTCATCAAAACGTTTTTTATCGTTAGCTTTTATATGAAAATAATACTATGAATTAATAGACAGTTTTCAGGATAGGCATACAGGGGCGGAAAAAAAGTAAAAAGGAACAGAGGAAGACCCAGATTGGCACAGTTAAGGATGCAGTATACAGTGTAAATTGACATAGGATAAGAAAGAGCAGCGGTGCCTGTCTAACTAGTCTTCAATAATAACAATACAATAATTGGTATAAATATAAATTACTTACGGAAGAACTAAGGATTTCATTTCGGTATGGATGCCAAGAAACATCCCTTACACATGCATTATGACCACTGAGATCTCTCTTTATTTTTCCTGTTAAGGCATCATAAACTGTAAAAAAGAAATGTTAGTTACATACTGTTTTTACTTTTTATAATGCAAGAAAAAGAACTTACCAACAACTCTACCACCTCCACATCCTGTATATATATACCTTTGGCCTGTAGTGCTCATTGGTGAGAATCTGCACCTTACAAGGGTTTTTATAACAATGTGACCCTTGTATGTCATAATAGATGTATCACCTTCGATTTTATTTTTATTACTATATACTGAAAATTAATAAAATTAAGACAGTTAAACATTGCATTCTAAGTAACATCTTTTATGTTACTTATAATAGATCATTATAACATTATATTAATTACATTTTTTCGGCACTTCCTGCCATCTATAATCCCACGTTTGATCGTGGACTGCCCTTAAGGTATTGTCAGCTGCCCTGGGATCTGAAAACACCCTCACATCCCATAGCTTGATACTTTGATCCTTGCTGTTAGATATAAGGTGTCTACTGTCACCCTTCGAATCTAGGCATATGCAAATAATTATTAGATAATTAAAAACTACTTTGTATTAAAATAAAACATGATAAAAGCAAACTGTTCAAAACCGACCTATGAAAGTTATACCGTCCATATGTCCAGCGAGAGTACCAACCGGAGTCGGGTTTTCTTCATTCAGTGTTCTTCTATCCCATACTTTAATCAAACCGTCGTCACCCCCGCTGTAAATAATTTGAGACGTATCATCAGCAAATGCTACACTGTTCACATCATAATCATGTGCGCATATCTGAAAATGTACATCATCATCTCTAAGATGAAAACAATGTTATGATTGATGGAAGTACGTAATAATTATTTTTACCAATAAAACTTTTCAACTTTCTTGGAGAAAGCTCTTACTTTCAGTAATATTCTATCTCTATGTCATTATGTAATACTTTTTAACAAGTAAATATTTTTTATACACACCCTTAGCGTTCTTTCTTTCCTTATCATGTCATAAATATACAAACTACCATCATTGGCACCCCCCAAAATTTCTGTACCATCAGATGAGAACAGCACTGAAAATACACAAAACCTTCTACCAGTCTTTACAAGACATAGCTGTTCTTGTTTATCAGATTCCCCATTTATAGAGCACATATGCACTAAAAGTAATTTTTGTTTTCGATTACATTTAACTTGAATTTTATTTGGGATAACTTACAAGAAGAAGACCAAGTGGAATAGACAAAATGTTCTTGAT